TCTGAGGATCTAATGCTAAGTCTCCATGCTAGTAAAGCAAGGGTTCTCTTACTGAGCTAACCTCCCAGCCCAGCACAGTCATTCATAATTAGCACGGTTAAGGTGTAATTTTGGTCTAAGTTTTGGTTCATGATGTAACTCTGGTACATTGCTTGTAGAACCAAGTGAAAAACCCAGACTGGATACGTCTGTTTTGAAGACTGAGGAGAGAGAATGTTGTGTACCTGTGTGAGCATAACAGAGATGGCCAGGCAGCAGACACACAACCTAGGGGGGGAGAATGGTCCGGGAACTGGTCATGTCTTCTGTGGTACACAGCCCATCCTGGGAGAGGGGATCCTGAAGATCAGGGCTGGGGGTGCACATCCTGGTCAGAGTGGGTTTGTTGTTGTTTTTTTCAAGACAGTTGTGGGTTTTTTGTTTGTTTGTTTTTTCTAGACAGGGTTTCTCTGTGTAGTCTTGATTGTCCTGGACTCACTTTGTAGACCAGGCTGGCCTCAAACTCACAGTGATCTGCCTGCCTCTGCCTCCTAGAGAGTGCTGGGATTATAGCCATGCGCCACTGAGCCTGGTTGAGATATGGGTTCTGTGTGTGTGTGTGTGTGTGTGTGTGTGTGTGTGTATGTAGCCTTGGCTGTCGTGGAACTCCCTCTGTAGATCAGGCTAGCCTTGAACTCACAGATCTACTAGCCCTTGCCTCTGGGCTGCCAGGATTAAAGGTATGCACCACCATGCCTGGCAGAAGTGTCTGTTCTTTTTTTTTTTTTTTTTAAATTCTTTTTTTCTTTTTTCTTTTTTTTTTTATTTTTTGTTTTTTAAGATTTATTTATTATTTATACAACATTTTGCCTGTACACCAGATCTTACTATAGATGGTTATGAGCTACCATGTGGTTGCTGGGAATTGAACTCAGGACCTTTGAAAGAACAGCGAGCCATCTGAGCCATCTCTCCAGCCCGAGTGTGTGTTCTTAATGTGCAAAGGTTCTGAGTTCTACCTTCAGTTCCAAAATTAACAAAGAAAAAAAAATGCAAACAACATGAAAGTACTGATATGCTGGAAAGAGTCTATTTGTTGCTGAGTTTTAGAACTTTATCTTATTTATTCATTCATTTTAAAGATGCATTTGTTTTATGTGTATGGATTTTTCTTTTATGTTTTTTTTTTCTAAGACAGGGTTTCTTTGTGTAGCCTTGGATGTCCTGGACTCCTTTGTGGACCAGGCAGGCTGGCCTCTAACTCAGAGATCCACCCGTCTCTGCCTCCCAAGTGCTGGAATTACAGGTGTTTTGCCTGCATGGGTGGCTGTGTACCATGTGAGTGGCCTGACACCTATACAGGCCAGAAGAAGGCCTTGGATCCCCTGAAATTGGAGTTAAAACAGTTGTGAGCCACCGTGTGGGTGCTGGGAGTTGACCCCAGGTTCTCTGGAGGAGCAGCCAGTGCTCTTAACAACCGGACCATCTTCCCAGCCCTTTATTTTCAGCTATGTGTGTGTGGTGGAGTGTGCACGTGCACCCGATTCCCCAGAGCTGCAGTGGCGGTTGTGAGCCGCCTGTCATGGCGCTGAGAACCAAAGGAAGGGCCTCTGCAAAAACAGAACTGCTGAGCCATCTCTCCAGCCCAGTGGCACTGCTTTAGTTATCCTGTTTCTTTTGTGCAAGTAACCCCAAGTTTAGGAGCTAAAAAAATAGATAGCATTTTCCATTTCTTTGGAATGTCTGGGTAGTTCTTGCTGGCTTTCCTTGGAGGTTGCAGCCAGCTGTCCCTGTCTTTTACCTTTGCTGCCTTGCTGAACTGCATGGTACATCAGGTACGATCCAGTCCATTGCTATTATAGACCATATGTTAAGGCACTACACAGGAAATGGCGCCTGCAAACCCTTCCCTCCTGAGAAGTCACGCAGTCTGGCCGAAGCTAGTCATTGGCTGTGATGCTTTGCCAGTTGTTTAGGTGGTGCGCACCTGCCACCCTAGCACTCCAGGAGGCAGAGGCAGGCGGATCCCTGTGAATTCAAGGCCAGCCTGGTTTACAAAGTCCTAGAGAAACCCTGTCTCAAAAAACAACAGGGACAACATATTTGTTTGGTTTATGTGTATGAATGTTTTGCTGCATGTATGTACATACATCGTGTGTGTGCCTGGTGTTCAAGGAGGTCAGAAGAAGGCACTGGAACCCCTGGGACTGGGGTCACAGCTACCATGTGGATGCTGAGCTCGTCCTCTGGAAGAGCAACCAGTGCTCTTGATTGCTGAGCCATCTCTTCAGCCCTCTTTCTCTCTCTCTTTGAGGCAGGGTCTCACTATGTAGCCTTGACTGGCCTGGAGCTCACTATGTAGACTAGGCTGGCCTCAGGGAGCACATCATCAGACTTCAGTTGCCTCTGTCTTGATTCTTGTCAGTTCCTTACACTCTCTCATGTAACCTTTGCCCTCAGAAACTTAGAGTACTCAGTGGCCTCAGTTATATAGTCTTTTCTCCTTTGTCTTCCAGAGCTTTCTCTTTCCTTTGGGTCTCCAAGGTAAACACTGCTCTCTGCACTCCAGGGTCTGCTTTCTCAGACCCTGGTAGCTCACAGTGAACCAAACATAGGTGTTATTTCCCATCACCGGCTCTGGAATGTTCCCTGCTGTGTTCTTGTCTCTGCCCTCATCTCGGCTTGACTGAGAGACTTGCATTCTCTGTAACCCTCTCCCGCTTCCCATCCCAGCAACTGTGGCAACTTATTGAGAAAAGCCACTTTGGTGGCTGTGCTTTGGCCACGGGGCCAGTCAGTCACTCCAGTGCTAATTCAGACAAATGAAGCTCTGAGCCACTGAGCATGAATTAGGAGAAGCAGCAGCCTGGGAAACCATCCTGACATCCTGCTACTCGCTCCTAGCCGCCCTGCATGCTGACCGTGTACAGCCCTTGGCACGGAGGTGTGGGAGACAGCAGTGTGTCCTCGAAGCCTTGAGTGGAGGCGTCCACGGGAACTCCTCAGAAGCATGAAGTGTAATGCCCTCTTGTAACGAAGCGGAGTGAATACAGGCAACTCTCTGTCTCCACAGCTGCCACACCCCGTGGGGCCAGCCTGTGTGAAAAGAGCATGGTGTCTGTGCTGAACCTTCACAGGTCTTTTCTTGTCCCTTGTCCTTATTCCTTAAATAGTGCAGTGTAACGGCTAGGCGCGTAGAGCCTACATTGGTACAGGTATGGTAGACATCTGTTTAGGTCGTGGAGATGTGGATGAGGGGATATGGGTAAAGGGCCCAAAGCCATGGTGTTTTATATCAGTGGCCTGAGCACCTGTATATATGTCCGTATCTGGGGATCCTGCTACCCGCCTCCTGCATGTGCGGAAGAATGAGCGAACTGAGCTCTAAGGACTAGGGCCTCGCCTCATTTCTTTTTCCTCTTCCTGCTTTCCCCTCCACTAACATCCTTGTTTGTTTGTGTTAGTTCTGGGGCTAGAGCACGGGGCCTGCATCCACAGGTGATTACCCCAGTGCTGAGCTGCACCTCCCGCCCTGGGGCGTCTCACTTTTGGCAGAGAGAGCTGTTCACCATCGACAGCAGCTGCTGTCAACCTGTGGCCCCCCTCTGTGGGTCCACCCACCCTTTCATGGGGGTTACCCAAGACCATCTGCATAGCGGATATTTAACCCAAGACCATCCGCATAGCGGATATTTACATTAAAATTTGTAACTGTAGCAAAATTACAGTTATGAAGTAGCAAGGAAAATATTCTTTTCTACTTAGGGGGGGTCGCCACAACGTGAGCTGTTTTATAGGGTCGCAGCGTTCGGAAGGGTGACAGCCGCTGATCTCCAGGGTCTGATCTGGTGGCCTTTGAGTGCATCAGATCTGGTGCTTCACATTACACAGTGCTTGTCCACAGAGACAGACAGCAGATGTGGCAGAGAGAACCTTAGGTTGGAGGTAGGGGACAGTTCGAAGGCTGGAATTCGGTTGTCATCTCACTGATAAGAAAGTCAGAGCCAAGTTACTTCCCTAAGAGATGAGTTTATTTGTGCACAAGTTGGGTGTCTGGCCCTGGGGCATAGCCCAGCTAGGCAGTTTTCATCCCGGGCCTCTTGGGTAGGTGGTGGTGAGCCTGGACCAGGCTGGAAGGTCCAGTGAGGCACTATGCATAGTTAGCACCTCGGTGCCCCAGCATGGGGCTCTGGCTCTCCCCGTAAGGAGCTCCGTGGGCTTCCTCAGCTTCAGACATGGAGTCTGGCTCATGGGAGGGAGACAGTGAGGCCACTAGGCGTTCCATGTCGAAGAATTAACACATCATTTCTGCTCTCTAGTAGTCATGAGCCCTGCCCAGGTTCAGGGGAAGAGAAATCATCTCCGCCCTTCCCCTACTCCTTTTCTAAAATTTGAATTACAGTTTATCTGTTGTGTGTGGGTGTGCTACGGTATGTGACAACTGTGGGAGTTGGCTGGCTGCTTCCGCAGGTTGGTGTCAGGAATTACAGTAAGGTCATCAAGTGTTGGCCATCCAGGTTGGCAGCAGGTGCCTTTACTCACTGAGCCGCCTCTCCAGCCCCACTTCTGTTTCTTGGTGTCTGGACCAGTACTCAGAGGCACTGGGAAAAGGGTTGACTGTGTCTGTCTTTGGGAACCATTGACCGCAGGGCCCAGACCCCTTCCTTCATCCTCAGCATCCTCCTCATAGTCCAGGGGCCTGCTAGGGCTCTAACCACAGGGGAACCCTCCCATCCCTTAAAGGAATGTCTTTTTTGTCAGTCAGGTGTTCCCATGTTTTGTTAGAGGGCTGCTCCTAGGCAGTGCGCAGAGTCCAGTGTGTAGAGGTCTGCTGGAGGGAGGGAGGGAGGGAGGGAGGGGCGGTGCAAAAACCTTTCCCAGGACCAGTGTCTTCACACCTTTCCCAGCCTCGAACCCCCCTGCCCCTTTGAGGGAGCGGCAGCCCACCTAAGAGAGGAAAGATGTCCGGGTCCCCCGGCAGCCCTTGCGATCTCACGCACCCTCTCTCTCCCCGCTCCTAGTTTACCACCGGCACGTGCAGCGACTCCGTGATTCACAACTGTGACCTGTGCGGCAAGAGCTTCCGCCTGCAGCGCATGCTCAACCGCCACCTCAAGTGCCACAACCAGGTGAAGAGGCACCTGTGCACCTTCTGCGGCAAGGGCTTCAATGACACCTTCGACCTGAAGAGGCACGTGCGTACACACACAGGTGAGGCTGCCCCTGCGTGCTTTGCCCACTTCCTGTTCGGGACCCGCTTCCTGGACGGGTGCCAGGGACACCGGATGAGGCGTTTGGGGTTGATCGGGTTCACCCTGACCGTGCCGCCTGCCAGCCTTGTCACCTGGGGCATGCGGGCCGCATTTTGCTCCTGTGAGATGGGGGCGGTACAAGTTCAAGTGGGGCAGACACGGCGAATCTCAACTGTAAGGCCATCTGCAGAATGGGACGTTCAGGCCAGCTTCACATAGTTTGTGCCTCTTTTTTGACTCTTTGTTTTTTTTTAAATTGTTGTTGGTTTGGTTTTGCTTTTGCTTTCTTGAGATAAGGCCTTGCCACGTGGCCCAGGCTGGCCTTCAACTCTCTATCCTCCTTCCTCTGCCTCCCATGGGCAAGGTGTTCGGGCGTGCACCACTGTGCCTGGCTAACCCTGTGAAGTAAGCCTGGCTCAGGGCTCATGGTCCTCCCGCAACAGCCAAATGGGCAGGAGAACAGCTGACCTGAGCCTCCTGCTGGTACGTGCGTCTTCCTTTGGGCTTCTTCCTTGACTTCCCAACCTTTTTTCTAAAGCCTTGCCCATAGGCTCCACCGCTCAGCTCATTTTCCACTTTAGGCAGTTTGGATCTGAGCCTCCCCAAGGCTGAGGGATGACCTTTTGCCTCAGTCCCAAACCTGCTGATTGGTCATAAGCTTCATTAGTTTTATCTTAGGCATATCTGGCCTTCTGGCCTCTGGCTTCTCTACTTAAGGCTCAGTCCACACCTTTGGTCCTGTAAGCCCTGGAGGAAAATTGTAAGGATGCCACTTCTCTGCTCAAAACTCGGTAACTCCTGGTAGACGCAGATGCCTCCTTTTCACATGAGGCCTCTCACCATGTGGTCTTGTCATCAGATCTCCTTCAACACCATCCTGTTCTATCCCCTCCCATCCCATCCCGTTTAAGCATGGCCTGTCTTAAACTCTTAGTCCTGCCCTGCCCCCTGTCCACCTCCCCAGCAACCTTGCCCTGTGTGCAGGGTCCCCATCCCTTACAGTCTCTCAGAACTTAGGGTTCCCTCAGGGTGTTGGTGGAGGAAAAATAACCTGGAGGTCCTTCCAGACCCAGCTTCCAGCTTCTCAGTCACACCCAGGGACCTTCTTAGGATCCCTATATTCCATTTCCTTTCCTAGTTCTTATTATGCTTTTTCTTAGCTCTTTTTCATGAGCTGCTTTCCTCACCTAGCAAGAGTGTTTCCCACATTATGAAGTGGACTGGTCTACAGAAGATGGTGGTGGTCGAAACAGGGTTTCTCTGTGTAGCCCTGTTTATCCTGGAATTCACTTTATAGAGCAGGCTGGCTATGAACCCAGAAATCCACCTGCCTCTGCCCTCTGGGTGCTGGGATTAAAGGTGTAGACCACCATGCTTGGCTAGCCCTTTCCTTTAAAAAAAAAAAAAAAAAAAAAAAAAAAACCTTTTCTAAACTGAACTTTTCACTGAAATTATATATCCAGAAAAAGGCACAAACTACAAGTGCCTAGACCTAGAGGCATACAGCTAAAACCAAGTAAAAATAACAGAATATTTCTAGCCCTCCAGGCCATTACCCTCTCTAGGTAACCTTTTTCTCTAAGGGGCAGGGAATCCCTATTATGGTTTCTAATTAATACATGACTTTTTTAGCTCTATAAAATTGAGGTCTGTACTCCCTTTGAATCTGTCTACAGGATTTTTTTTTCTTTAGTCTCTAAAGATAGATTAATTAACTAATTTATACATGCTAGAAATTGAATCTGGGGCTTTGAACACACTGGGCAAGTGCTCTTAACATTGAGCTAAATCCAGCTGTGTTTTAACTTTGTATTTTGACCAGGGTCTCACTAACTTGCTCAGACTGGCCTTGAATTCACAGAGTAGCTAGCCCTGGCTGGTGCTTGAGAGACACGTGCCCTCCAGCGTCTAGACCACAGCCATTGGCTTGGTGTGGCTGCTGAGCTCTTGCCTTGGGACTAGCAGCAATTAGGTGTGGTTTAAGACAGTAGATTTTGAAGAGCTCGGGGGTGGAGGGTGGTGGGGACAGGAGGATCTCTGAGTTCTAGGACAACCTAGTCTACATATGGAATTCTAAGCCAGCCAGGGAAATATAGTGAGACCCTGTTTTAAAAAAAGAGTCTATGTATTTGTTTGTTTACTTATTTATGTTTTGAGATAGGATCTCCTTTAGACTAGGCTGGCCTTGAACACTGCATTCTCCTGCTTTAGTGCTAGCCTCTTGAGAACTGGAGTTGTAGGTACATGCCGCCATTCCTGGCTCCTTCTGGAAATTTCTAAATTCTAAAGTAGTTTGCCCCTTAATTTCTATTGGTCAGCACCGTAATAATTGAAATTGGTGGGTAGAAATTTTTAGGATTTTAATCTTAACTTTCGCTTTCCAAGTAACTAGCAAATAGCACTATGGAAACTTATTTCCACACCCAGACTGTCGAGCTAGTGGAGGTATGCCTCCAAAGATTACTGGATCATAAAGAGAAGCGGGGGCTTACATTCATCCTAGCTGGTGACAAACATGAGGAAGACACTGATCTGGACAGGCCGTAGTGCCAGGGGCTGGTCAGACCTCTGATTGTCCCTGCTCTTTACTGTAGGCATATTACCACAGAAAATGTTTAAGAGTTCTCAGATGTGTTTGTTTGTGAAACCCCTCAGTGGCTCCAAAACACCATCCTAGAATTTAGTGGGAAGTTGGTCTTTGTCTTTGGGAGAACTGTAGGGTTGGCCACTGACTATTCTAAGTGCTGTATTTAGGCCAGGAACAAAGATACAGACACTCAACACAAATACTGCAGACAGCTGGGTGAGGGATACACTTGCATAGGGTACAAAGAGACCAAGCCTTACTTAGCATTTTGAAACCTGCCTGGGATTCTAGGAGCCTCCGTTAGAGGACCGTTACCAGTGTAGATAAATTCAGCAAAGATGGGTGGACACTCAAGGCTGATCTTTGCCTCTCCCTTACCACCGACAGCAACTTTTCACCCCCAGCAACTACAGCAGGCATCTAAGGAGAGACTCAAGTTGCAAAAAAAAAACTTCTTGAAAAAGATTCAGGGAAACCAGGGCCTGGAAATGTCTTACATTAATATCCAGACAGATGAAAGAAAAGATTAGGAATCCTTTTTTGGGTATGACTTCATCAAGAGAAAAAGCAACCACGGGGTCCTCTGACCCTGCCCCTATCTCTGACTTGTGTGTGCGTCCAGGCTAGGGAGCAAGGGTGTGATTAGGTTAACCCAGTGGTGCAGAAGAAAGAACTCCATAGCATTTTAAAAATGTGTGAGTAGCTGGTTGTGGTGGTCATGTCTGTAAGCACTGGGGAGGTAAAGACAGGAGCACCATGAGTTTCCAAGCCAGCCTGGGCTACATAATTAACTCTAGACAAGCAACAAACAACCTTCCCACCACAAGAGCACAAACCCAAACAAACTGGAATTACAGCAACAGCAAAAGCAATCAGTAAATGAGTGGCAGTTTTCATTCTAAGCAGCCTGGGGTCCTGCGCCCTAGAAATCAGCTCCTTACTAAGATGATCTCTGGAAGAGAGCTTTGGGGAGGAACTTGTCAAGCAGTGAGGGCAGCTGGGGAGGAGAAAAGGTGCTAGCCTCAGCCCTATCCCAGAGGGCTTTGGGGCTTGAAGGACGTACCTCAGTGCTGTCCTGTCCACAGGTTTGTGGGGAACCATTCTACACCCTTTTCAATCAGAAGACATTTCACTCCCGCTCACTGGGAAAGTTTGTGCCCATCGCTAGTGCCCAATCCGTGGAGAGGGGGACACCCAGGAGCTGTTGGCTACCAGCACCTGTGTGCACGGGGGCCTATGTATGCATTAGCCCAGGAAGTGGGTCTGGGTGGGGAGCCAACACTACCTCTGTGGACCTTGCAGAGACAGTTCTCCAGTCCAGTGTCAGGGACAGGCTCACAGAGGCCAGACTCAGCTACATCAAAATGGAGAGGAGCCCTGAGCACTGAGACATGTATGTTCAGTTGACAGCCCGAGGAAAACACCATGGGTCTGCTTTTACAGACATTCCTTTGGGTTTGGCTGTTTTTGACTTAGGCCAACTAGGCTACTTCCTAAGAATGGCTGCCTACTGGCAGAAATGATTTGTTTTTGGGAAAGAGATCTGAGTGTTTGAGTTAAAATTACCGACCTCACACGAGCTGGCCTTCACACCTATGTCTACGCCCACGTCACTCACTGTGGCTTGAGGGGGACCGAAGCACCTGGCATTTGTTGGGCGCACGCAGCCACTCGTCTGATGCCCCAGAGGTGCCAACCTCATTGTTCAGATGCAGCATTTATTGAAAGGTATTTCTTTTCCTGTGAATGCCTCTGCGGTGGAAGCTGTCGGATGGTATGAGAAGCTATAGCAAGTGCCAGCGACCATGCGCAGTTGGTAAGGCCAAGCGCAGCAGTGGGATCCTCAGCTTCGGAGAGAGGGTTGCCTGGGCCTGGGAAGATGATAACACACTTCTCAAGGTGTGGTGGCTCATGCCCCTAATCCCAGCACACAGAGGCTATGGCAGGAGGGTTACCAAAACTGAAGGTCCACCTGTGCACTTGTGTTTCTTGAAGAGCACCTGGGTTCAGGTACCAGCACCCACATGGCAGCTCACCATCATCCGTAACCCTCTAGGGGATTTGATGCCTTCTTCTGACTTCTGCAGGCCCTGCACTCACATGGTATATGTACATACATGCAGGCTCATACACAGAAAATAAAAATAAATACATTTTGTGGGGGGTTTGAGACAGGGTCTCACCATGGTACTCTAGCTGACCTAGAACTCCCTATGTAGACCATCCTGGCCTCGAACTCCAAAGTGCAGCAATTTAAGTTGTGTAACCACCTTGCCTGGTTAAAGATAAATAAATCTTAAAAAAAAAAAAAGTCAAAAAGCTGGCTCAAATAGTAAGTGCTGCAAGCACAGAACCCAAGTTTGATCCCAAGA